TATGAGAAGTTAACTGAAAGTACTTCAGCATTCAGTATTTAAGTTCTAGCCTGTGTGTTGATTTCACGTAGACCAGGCGAGCAGAAGTTTGCCTGTAATCAGGTGCAAGGCAAAGAACTCGAAATCCACTTGCTCTACATTGCATTAATATTACGTGTTCACTTGTTTATAAAGATTATAAACAATTACATGCATTATACTCAGCCATACTTTTATCCTTATTTATTTTAAATGAACTACTAGTAGAAAGTTATTAACATTTAAATTAATACACAAAATAATCAATGGTTCATGCTACAGTCTACAGACTTCAATTAAACCTTTAATAGGAGAAATCATTTCTTCAGAATTACTGGTTTCATCAATTCCTTCGAGAGTGTTAATGCATATTCACAAACATTCGCGGTGAAATTATTACAACTGTAATTCTTATCTTGAAATTGGTTATAATAAGCTACGTATAAGAACCTCAATTACGAAGCGATAAAATAATACGGTCAGGTGTACACACTCTTTCATCTTTACACGAGAAAAGTCTAGTTTTGCGGTGAGAGTGAATGTTTCATAAATTGCTGACAAGTAAAGCTGCGCCTGCGACGCGGTCAAACACGTGGGTTCATTAAATCAGAACCGATTGCTTTGCTCTGTTTCTGTGCAGATGTTATAAGAAACAGCGTGCCGCCGAGTTTGCGGAAGGAAAGGCCACAGGCTTCCGCTCGAACTATCTGTGCTCTATCTTGTATGCAAGGGGCAATGCATTTCACTTAATTGATTCGAATACTAACTAATCTTTAACTCAAATAATAGTTCCAAACAAAGTGATTGTAAAATTACATGTTCGTGAACATTATTTTTCTCGCTTGTCATAGATTTAGATGAAAGCTTTTGTTCTCATTGCCTTTGCAATTGTGATTTAAATATTTGATACCATCTCGGTGCGATATTCGTGTATGTTATAAATTAAGATTCCTGAGAAGTTATCCATGAAAAATTGATTCATATTAGAAATTGCTCAAATATAAGATATTTTAATGATTATTCCAATTTTAATATTTATTTGTTACGATATCATTTTACATATATGGATTTTGTTTGAAAGGAAACATATTCTTCACGATTGACTGCGAATCGATATCGATTCTTTCGCGCTTTCGGTATTAAGTTCGTGACCCAGTTTAAGTTTTTTATTGTCAATGGAAGAAACTGTCCTTTCTATTAGTAAAAGTCTAATTTCGCCAGAACAATTTCCCCGATGCCTGAGACAAACTCACGTCCGCCATTGAACACAGGATTAATTGGCGAATCGAGGAACAAAAATCATTGACGAATGAAAGGGACGAAAGCTATCTACATTGTGCGCCACTCGGAGATCGAGCGTGAATAGATGCAGATCAAGCTTCCCAGGTTTGTTAAACTCCGTCGGGCCTTTCCTCTCACAGCGGTCTACTTCGATTTGTACCTTTTGCCTCGTTCTGCCTTTCTCCCGCGAAATGAACAAAATGGGAACTAGTATAACTTTTACTCTAGATACTTATCAGTCCTTTGTTCGCTGGAAATGCCAGCGAACTATTAAGACGTGAAAGGATCTGTATTCTATACACAAAGAGCCAAACCTTTCGTCTTCTTGTTTAAAAATTTACCTCTTCCTAAGTTGGGTAGTTCAAATACTGTCTGCGGTGTATCTCAAAGTAAAGAAATTTTGGAAAATAAATGTTTCATTTTTTAAGATTTTCACAAGGATTTTGTGAATTTAATAATTTTTGCGCTGTAAGTGGAGCACTAAATGATACTTTAATATTGAATATAGATAATACTTTATTAGTTGATATGATACTAGAAATGATACTACATATGACACTACTACACATGATACTTCAGTGGCTACACATACTGCTGGACCTATTAAAGTTCGGAGCACAGAAATCGTTCAATATTAATCCTCTGTCGGTAAATGAATCGCTCCAAATTGGATTTAAAATGATCACTGCTTCTTTCAGGATCAACCTGAGAGATGAAAATGATACTGACGCCTGCACGAGTTCACGGAAGCGGCCCAGGAACAATCTTGTCATTACCGTTCTGCACGAGAGATCGATCGGCGTGCGTTTTGGCACGCGATTGCTAGCTTTCATCAAAAGTGAGAGGAGAAAGAGGTCCGGGCAAATAATGATTTTACTTTTGCTTTTGTGCTGAACCGGTTTTTGCCGCCCTTACGGGAGGACTCGTACACCGTCACCGATTAAACTTGATACCTGAGCCCAGCCGATCGACGAACATTCCATTATGCCCGCTTAAACGGTACACCCACGCCGCGGAGAATTGGTTGTACCTCTTGGAGATCGATCTCCTCGGTACGTGAGAAAATAACGTTCCATTCTGTAGAACAATACCTGCCTTTATACCTACCGAAAGGATAATTTTAAAAATGTAATTGCTGGACAGCTGGTCTTGAACACTTTCATAAAAAGATATTGCATTGCGTATTTGAGTAATATTCACTGGAATTTTATTTCATTCTCGCATCAATAGCATGCTTGTCAAAGAAAGCTTTCTAGGAACAACTGTTAAATTGTTAGATCTTAATAATTAATTGTTTGCGTAAAGTTGACTCAATAAAAACTTTGATTCACCATTGTAGTATTAGCACTCTTATAAAGCTAGCATTAGCAGAATCGTTATCAAGTTCTCAGGTATTTATTAAGTTAAAGACATAGTTTCAGAATAGTTGTACCTTTCACAAAGTCGAGTTACTCGTTTAAACTAATAATAATTGAATTCACTGACAATCCAAAGAAAATGTTTGTAATAATGTATGCTGTTCCTTCTTGAAATAAGTTTTATTTAGGCTATCCCTGAAAAGTAAAATCTAGGTAAATATTGTTTGTATAGGTAACAGAAACATGTAATATCCACATCCGAGTGCCTAGAACGGGCACGAGCAGCGGCTCGAGTGTAGAAAGAGCCAGATGATCCAGATTAGTCCTCTTACTTTGGACGGTCTTTCAGTCTCTTGGTGGTAATCCTTTCACCGTTCTCTCTCTCGGCCGTGAATCGTACTGTCCGGCTCGAATTTCAGTATGTCCGATTGCTCACTCGTTTTTGTAACAGGAAATTGTACGGCGAATGTGCGTAGGAAGTGCTACTTCCTGAAGCGGTTCCCTTGCCCGCTAAAAATTTGAAAGGGAAGTGGCGGGTGCAACTATTAAACGATAATTCAGGCGACTTTAGTATGTGAAAGTGTTTCATGCGTTACGTTGGTAACACACTTATCTGTTGCCTTCTAGAATTATATTACAGAATTTATTATTCATTAATTATAGTATTTACTATGAATTATCTCGTAGAAATCAAATTCTTTAGCTCCGCGTGTGACATTCTGTTACAATATATATATATATAATAAAAATATAAAATTGTGAAGATCCACAAACCTCGACAACTATCTATAACTAACGTCATGTACATTGGTGCGACATATTGTGTTCAGCAATATTGGCATACACAACGTCGAAGACATTTTGCATAGGTAATTAAACAACGTCGGAGAAGTTCCTGTAACTAAATAAACGACGTTGAATAAATTTCTACATGTAAATAATTAACATGGAATAAATTTCTATAAGCCTGTAAGCTAAATGATCGACACTCAATAAATTCATACAGGCAGAACAATCCAGCGGTGAATACACCGACAGAAGACGTACCATTCGAAAATAAACAAGTTCAACTTGACATGTCGTTACGTAACACCGCGAAGAAATCAGTAAACCTGAAATTTCAACGGAACCGTGCTTCATTACAAGCCCCGCTAAAGGTATACTTCCATGACTTTCAGTGGATTTAGCCGGCTCGTAACAACCGGGGCAGAGCCAACGCGATTACCGGTGAAAGCGCTGAGCCATCGGGATCTCGTGGCTGCGAGATGAGCGTGTATATCTCCGGTAAATTACAGCGACACGTGTGCACTTAGGCCGCTGCAATTGAATTCTTGTCTGTGTCTCGTCTTCCTCGTCCGCGCGGAAATTACTACGGGGCGGCAGGCAACAATATGGCGGCCCCGTTGCGCAACACCGAGCATTTCGCGCACGGTGCTTAGTGTCGATGAGCATGCGATTCGTACACTCTGAACAGCGATGAGTAATTATTCGAATCGGAGATCGCAATTTCCTTGCACGCGATACACGATACTTGATGGCGATTCTGAACCGAATCGTTATAACAATGCGGTTATGCATGTAGGTACTACACGCGTTATCGATTCATTCACCATTTTGATTATAGGTTCCTCAGCCGCAGTTACAGTTTTGCTTTGTGATCTCTGATAAAATTTCTGGCGGCATCTTATACTAATTTGCGGAGATCGTAAACGATAAACGTTTAATTTTTCAAGGAAATCTTTATTTAGAGCGGGAGGAGTTTACTAGAGGGAAAACGGCGTTTGTAATTAAACGTTATTAGTCGTTCGTGTGTTCAGAAAGAAGTAAAAGAAGCCTTCATTGGAATGTAGTGTGAATTCGTGCAATTAACAGTTCCTTTTATAAATTAATTAAGAAAAATTATTGTTGATTAGAAGAAGTAAGCGTCAGCGTCGAATAAAAGTACAAAACGTAAGTTGCAAATAATTACAATAAAAAAATTCATTCATTCAATCGCATTTGGGCACTTATTCCTCAAAACGAGTTAAACCGAACACCCATAGATCTTCCGTATAGATCATAAAAAAATCAGAAAATAAAGAACAATACAAATCTGAATAAAAAATGAAGAATCGTTCGTATCTACTATTTCTATAAATCGCAACGAGCGTTTCAAGCGTTCATAAATGAAACCGATACACCGAACATCTCGATTACCGGGACGGTTCAATGAAGATGCGTTTAACGATGGCGCCGCGATACGAGGTCAGTTACGAAACCGAAGAAACATTAACAGCGCTCGGGGTTCAGTTGGCGTAGGATGGGGCCTGCAAGCGGATCGTCTTTGGACGCACTTGAAATCGATCTCGGCGATAGCTGACCGGCGGACGTGCCGGCGGCGGCGGCGGTCGTCGAACTCGTGGAGCGCCGCGCGGGAAGCTCAAGGAAGGAAAAAAGGGGAATAGCGGGCGACAAGATAGGAGAACGCAGGCCAGTCGGAAAGAGAGTGCTTTCTTCGTGAATCGGTGACGGTGAAGGTCCTCGTATATAAGCAACTGCCAGTACTGCAATTGTCAGTGTGATTCGTCCCATCGGAACCGTCCTATCTGCTTATACCTGCTAACCGGATCACGATGTTGCGAGTTGTAAGTTGATTCGTCAGCGTCTACCTTGAAAGGGAATCCCTAAGCCTCAAGATCAAAGGATAGAGCGAATTAAAAAGGATAGACCGAATTCAAGTGCGTCGTAAAAGGATTAGATAGAGAATCATTTCGTATGCATTTTTTTCGGGTTGCCAACTCGTGAAGGTGTCTGCGGTGAAGGGTCTAAAAGGTTTGAATATTTCGAAAGTGACACGATAGAGACAGTCTGGGGGGACGTAAGAGAAACGTTTCTTATTTTTCGGAGAAAGTATCTCGATCAAGCTAAAAAATTGTTGCTTCCGGTAGATACATTGTGGATTTGGAGAGAAAGTTGATCTTGGAGTAGTTACATTAATGGTTTGGAATGACGTGTTGGAGGTTCGAAAGGGCGGTAGAGGTTTTGGTCTTCTGGTCCTCTGGGAAGAGTTTTTCGAGATTCTTTTCGGAGGACTCGGATTCTGAGTAGGTCTCCCTTTACCCTGTAATTTAAACTCGGTTCGGTAGCCCTGAATCGTGATTGCGAACTTTACAGTTTTTGTTCGGACTGGCCGTGGCCGCTGTGAGGGCCTCTTATTTGTCCTCCCTGGAAGGTCATGGTTTCGGCAGTGAGCCGAAGCTCATCTCGCAATCGGTGCACCTAAAGGAGATACCGACGAAAATCATCAAGGTCACGAAGACTGCGGTTGTCAAGGTTCCAGTGCCGTATCCTGTTAAAGTACGTTCTTTCTTTCGTATTAATATATTAGTACTTGTTTCAGGGTTAAGTGTATGTTATAATTGGATACCTTTAGTAATCCTATGATTAATTTTTACTTCACAAAATATTGATGTTTCTATGATAATTTTAATTTTTACAACTCATTTTTCTAACAAATAGCTACTATTTCGAATCAGAACTATATCTAAATTTTTTAACAAATTCTATGTCTTACGATTAAAGCAACTATAGAGGCACATCTGGCAAATGCATAGTACTGGTAAGACAATTATTCAATTAGCACAAGTATCCACTTAAGTAATTACTAAAACAAGTTCTCATCCGAATCACTTTTCAACCAGTCACCTATACAATACCATGAAAAACGCAATTTCAAATCAATCTTACCTCCTCAAAGTTTCTAAGCATTACAAGCTAATCCAACCAATTGATCAATTTCAAACAATCTACCTGAAACCAAGAAAAATCTCACTATTATTTTCCCATCGTTAAAACCGCAATGGTGTCAGACGTCCAGCACGCACGGCTGCATAATTGCCAGGCGATCCACCCTTTCGCCTAGACCGCAGCTCCGAAGCGTTACAGTTTCACCGCGAGAACTCGAGACGCGAGAGTCGACCGACCGACTAGTTCGTCCCCTGATCTAGAAATTCCTTTCTCCCAGGTGCCCCATCACATACCCGTTCCGGTGCCGGTGAACCATCCGATCGCGGTTCCGTACCCGAAGGTAGTGAAAGTCCAGGAAACGGTGCCGGTCGAGGTGTCGAAGCCAATCCCGATCGAGATCCACCAGCAGGTGCCTGTAGTGGTGCCGAAGGCTGTCCCGATACCGCAGCCGGTTCCCGTTCCACAGCCGGTAGCGATCAGCAAGCCGGTCTTCTACCCAGTGCCGCACCCTATACCTTATCAGGCGCACAGCGAGTCGGAGGGTGGAGCCGGGGGCTACGATACCGGATCGGACCACGTGGGACACGAGTCCGAGAGCTATAGCGCTTACACGGTGAACGAGCAAGGACACGGAGGCTACGATCAGCAGAATTCTGGAGGACACTTCCAGCCGTCGCAACCTGACTACAATTCGCACCATTGAAGAGGATTCGGGAGGATCACTGTTCTCAGGTCGAAGAGATTAACTCCATTTAATGTTGTTGGATTTAGTATCGAAATGATTAATTGGTTCTTGTTACATTTTTTTACTTGCCATTGTATGGAGTTAATCACTTTGACGAATGAATGGCCAAGTTGGTGGACAATTGGAGAGGATCATAGTTTATAGGCTGAGGAGATTAACTAGACTTTTTGAATGTTTTGGAATTTAGCACTGGATTGAGTAATTGGCTCTTTATGTACGTGATTTTGTCAAACATTTTACTTGCCATTTTGTGGAGTTGATCATTTTGGTATATCAATGACAATGTCGATGGATAAGGTACGATGTAATTTTTCGATTCTGGTGTTTTGTTGAGATCTATTGATTCTAGGGAAAGAGGGTGCGAAAATCGCCATACTGTATGATATTCAGGCTGTTTCTGGTGAATACGTTAATATTTGGCAGTTGGTACCCTTCAAGCATTCTGAGAAGTATTTTGCGTGGGATAATGTCGATAAACAGAAGGGAAGCATCTCAGTAATTCGAGGACTGCTGTATTTATGTTGATGACGTTTCGGGTGCTCTTGTTGTGAGATTGCGGGACTTCGTGTGATATTAGAATTTTCTTTCTAAGAATTCTGATACAATTGAATTGACAGAAACTGTCACACGCAAGCGAACACCAATTACGCAATCTCTGTTACATTCATTATGCTAAGATCTTATCTAATTCTCTAGTTCCAACTATTACGAACTGACCTTTTTGGTAGTAGCTTTAAAGAGATTATTTCATACGAGGTCCCAAACAGAAGCTAAAAAGCTGTATCTTTCACGGCGTCTCCATCGATTGTACACTGTATCGTTAAGTCTGTGTCGTTAAGTTTCTGTTTGTAACTTGTTATATTGTTGGTTAACGAATTTTATTTTTCCTATTTGTTTTTATAATAAAAAGTAATACCTTGAACATTGCGTAACATTCTTACTTCCTTCTTCGGTGTTGATCAATCATGTTCTAATCAATCTCGCAAAACTCGTTCCTACATGTGGGGACGCGGCTTAAGATCGTTCGGTAAAAAGGATGCTGCTGTTGTGTCGAGCGATCTTTCACGGTCTAATGAAATGGAAAGTGAATTGTCCTGATCGGATGAGTCACGCGGCTTGCGTTCATCGCTGCACGATCCGTATTCAGTGCCCGAACTGATCCTAACCTGCACACGACCGACAAAATGGCGGTCAACGTTCCCGCTATGGAAACACGGGAAAAGGGTCGATCCGAGGCCAAGTATCCATAACAGGCCGTTTAGAAATTACAAAGAAATAGAAAACGCGGTTTCCATTTCTCGTTTTAGGAAAGTAGATTTTTCAATCGTACAATAATTTTAATTAATTCCCTCATTAGGAAGAAAGTTTTAGGTTCAGAGATCATTATATCAGTTGCGGAACTTTCGACTTGTAATTGCAAATCTTGGAGAACGTGTTCCAAGTAATTTTAATAGATTTAATGTTGAACGATGTTGTTTAACGAAATCAGTGGAATTTATTAGCTGTCAGTGCTTTTAATTTCATTATGATCCCCATTTACGCACTGGAAATAACGTCGAGAAAGCAGATACCAATAAAGATTTTACATTTTCCTCCGACACTGGAGTGTCCAAAGGAAAGCAAGTACTCGATCGAAAGATACTAACAACCTTACTAATACAAAGAAGAAGAACAAATCTAATTGTGCGAAGGAAATATCACAGTAAAAGCTACAACCGAAACTGGAGTACAAATCGAATCGGCTCGGTTTAATCTTAATATCCCCGCATTCCTTCGAATTCCATTTACTCTCGCGCACTCCACGTTCTCGAATACAACCCAGTCCCACGACTGTGAAACGAATTCAAGGATGACGGCGAAGGTTGCCGCGGTTTCTCAACTGCGCTCCAATTTTCGACAACCTCTCGAGGCTCTCGAGTCACGCAGTACGGGTGCACGCACACATTAAACAAAAAACCAGTTTGTATTTTCGTACGAAAAAAGGGGTATCTTTATTTCAGTGATGCAAGACGCGCGTCGAGTTACGTACAAAAAGAAAGGGAAAGAGAATTAAACAATTACGACCGTACAAAAAATAATTACGTCTAATGTCACAGTAGCGAGAACGCTGGGAGCCAATTCGTTCGGCCCTCGCGAAGGTCCTGGTCGAGGACACCGTCAGAGAGAGCCGGATGTTCTGGGGGGCTAATTTTGCGCCCCGCGTCCACCGGGGGGAGCCAATCATCGTTGCTGTTTGCAGCCCGACCTGACTGACCTAGAGATGAGGTAAGAGAAAAGCGTGGCCGAGTGAAGGGTGACGATTATCCAGGTTAGCTGCCTTCGGGACTGGCCAGTTAGTGACCGTCCTCGAAGGTCGACCGAGGAAGATCGTAGTGTCGCAGGAACTTTCTCTGTCAGCGATACTCCGCTGGCGATTGTGTTTGCTTGCTCGCCACGAGAACTGGCTCCCCCCGGAATCCCACGATGTAGTTGTTGATTGTTTACCAGGAGGAGTAGCCGCCGTTCACCCAACCATTGTACTGTTTCTCAACGACGACGGGTTGAGCGACTGGGACAGGAACGTGCTTCACAACTGGAACGGCGACGGGATGGGGCACCTTCACGGCGTACGGGGCTGGCACTGGAACCTTGACTGGAACGCTCACGGGGTAGGGGACTGGGCGGTCGACGGGGACTGGCCTGTCGACTGGCACTGGTACGTGCTTGGTCACCTCCACTGGGTACGGTTTCGGGACATGCACTGGGTAGGGGCGGTCTACCGGAACAGCGACTGGTACCTGAAAAGATTACCGTTTCGTGTAAGGATCTAATGTAGAGTTTAGTTAACTTCTTCATGGGATCAAAGCGATAGGAATATTTAGTTGTTATGTGAAGTCAATAGAGTTATGCTGATTTCAATGTTGTATTTGTAATACTCTCTTAGAGGACTGTTGAGTGTAGACTCTATACTGTAGAAGGTTAGAATGTGATTATTTGTTGAGTGGCATAGTGTCGCTGTTATTGATCCACGAGGAGAATAGTAATTGAATGTTAATACAAAAATGAAATTTAGGGTCTAGATTGGAGATCGAATAGTCTACTGGTAGCAGATTGCGTGACTCTAGGACCGAATGTCCGAACACTCTGACTGAATAATTTTATGCTGCTTCATACAAAGTTCAAGTAAAACGTGATAGAAGTGCAGTTTCAACTTCATTTTCAAGGTACTGATTGTCATAGACTGCCAAAACTATGAAGTAAGTCTCATTTGTCGTTCCTCTTTACGCCAATGCTCGCGCTTGTAGCTGTTTACCTCGCGCACGCCTACTCGACGGGTTGCCATAATTCAGGGAGATATAGAACCGTCCCTATCTTGAAAGCGAAGATGTAACTTTCTTATTTATAATTTTCGTTCCTTACTGCCACGAAGATCATACAATCAATTCTTAAATTTTAACTCAACGTATTTCTTTTATTGTTGAAAATTGCATGACAAATGAAACCAGTTCGGTTACCATTGATGCCAGTAAAAGATACGCGTTTCCCAGAAAACAAATCGAACCTTGGAATACTATATCGATGGATCATAAGTAACAACGCGTGACTTGATCGCGAAACGTCGTAAAACGTAACTGTGGCGTGGTGATTTCCTAGAAAACACGGCAACGCGTTCCCATCTTACGAAACCCCGTACTTGTTCGCATTGAAACGGTAATGAGCGATCGATGATGACGATCGCAGCCGTATAGCAATCGCCGTATAGATATCACGAGATAAACAGAGCGTGATTCCCCTTTGATATCGCGTCCCCGATAACTCTCGCGCATCAGATTTCGTTTCGCTTCATCGTGAAACTACTTGGAAGCCGTCGATCTGGTGAGATTAGGTTCGTTAACGATTCACGCCTCCGCGACACGATTCCGACGAGATCGAAAGTGACCCGTTCACTTTTTACCAGGGACTCGATTTTTGACGGTTAGTCGGTTGAAATCGAAAATGTGGTTTATCGGTTAAGATTGAAAATTGGCATGCCAGTTCGAATAGAAAACTGTGATTACCAATCGACACGGAAAATTTGATTTACCGTTGAACTCGAAAGTTTGGTTTTACAGTGAAAATTGGACAATGGATTAACCGAATGAAATTGCAAATGAAAGTTTGGTTGACCAGTTAAGATCGACAATCGTGTTGACGAATGAAATTGAAAGTTAGTTTATCGGTCGAAGATGAAAGCATGATTTGCTGGTTAAAATCGAAAATTCGATTTACCAGTTGAAACCGAAAATTCAGGTCATCAGTTAAGATTGAAAGGTGGATTAACGAATGAAATTAGAAATTTTTTATCATCAGTTCAGATGAAAATTAGGTTAACGAATAAAGTTAAAGATTCGGTTGACTGGTTGATATTGAACATTTGATGTGTCAATTAAAATTGAAAATTTGGTTTACCCTAACTGCGACAGGGACGTGCTTCTCGACAGGAACGGCGACGGGTTGTGCTACTGGGACTGCGACTTCTTTAGTCACCACAGTCGAGACACCGTGGCTGACGCCGACCGCGGGAACATGCGAGTATGCAGAAAGTCCCAGGCCATTCTCCAATCCGTATCCGGCGTATCCTCCGTATCCGGCGTATCCACCATATCCACCATATCCCAGTCCATAGACTCCACGTTTGTCTTTCTTCGGCGTCTCTTCGGCAAAAGCTACTGCCGCGAAGGCGAGAACGATGAAAAGCTGAAATAAAATAATTGTTTATCTTCCATGTATTTGCCAGCGCCCATTTTTTTTGGGACTTAAAAACAATATGAAAAGGTGAAATACTGTATAAATCTATACAAAACCAGACAAAAAGTTGAAAAACTATATAAAATTATATAAAATTATTTAAAACTATATAAAACTTATTTATTTCGTCGATTTATTTCGTCGATCAGAAGATTCTCTACAGTAGAAATGATACAAAAATAATATGAAGATTTGTTACATGATTCCTTATAGTTTACAAACTGGAACATGATAGTCTGCGGTGAAATAATCGATTCCTTTGAAAAGTCCCATTTGTATAATTTTATATGTTGGTAGTAAAAAGAAATCTCCTATGAGTAAGTTTAATGGTAAATGCAAACAGCAATAACATAACAAAGGAGCAACAATTTGCTAAATTTGGTAATTTAAAAATGAAGAGTCAAATGATACATTTGTTACCATTTCTTCAAGACCTCTATTAACGATATTCCTATTACTCAAACTGAATCTAACAGTTCCACAGAACAGAACTAAACTACAAAAAATTCCCTCCCAACTAATAATCAATAAGAAATGGTTCAAATTCACTAACAATATTCCACAAAATTTAACAGAAAATTCCAAAATGAACCAACCACTTCTCACAAAAATCTAACGGTTCCCATTTGCCCAACTCGGTCACATTTCTATAAATATTTGCAGAATAACCCAAAAATGGTATCAAACATGACAAGAATAACAATCGCCGATGTACAATTTCAAAACACTGATTCTCCGGAACAGTTGTGCTATACAGTATCAGCAACCCTCTAAGACGGAAAAATGGTCCTTAGGCGGTTGGTCCCGATCTTCAGCAGGGACTGACCAGTACTCAGGACCGTTCCGTCTAACCAACTAAGTATAATACGCGTTGTGCTCACCTTGGCGTTCATGGTGCTGTGCTATTGGAGTTGGTTCGTCGTTGTTTTGCGACTGATGAGATACCAAGAAGATTCTCTGCTTTTATACAGCCGGACGAACCCTTGAACAGGTCGGAGGTGGTAGACAAGTGGCGGGCCAGAGAAACGGTGAAAAGAAATTGGGCGTGGGGAGCGAGCAGGGGTCCCCGAAAACCGAACCAAGGCAAAGCTCACAGCGCTCTTTTTTCTTGCGAAAGATAAATTATATCTCTCTCCTCTCCTACTCTCCCCTCCCCCTTTCCCACCTCTTCACTCCCTACTCGTTGTTGATTAATACTTTGAATCCTTGCACTTCAGTTCGCCACTAGTCATCCACTCGTCTGCGTCAGGGTGCCTTTTTCCACTTGCTAATTGACCGTTCGAGGTGCATCCAGTGACGTCAGGAGTTTTCGTCTACGGTTCCCTGTGGCAAGTTTCAGCTATTCCTCGTCACGGGTACAGGATGGTTGTTTAGTAAGTATGCATCAAGGAAGGTAATCAGTAGAGTTAACGAGTAACGTGATACTTTGTTCTGTTTGGTGAGTTTTAGAGGACTTGTAGAAAAAATTTGGTATCGATGTTATTCGTTGTTGTTGCTCAGCGACCTGTAGTATTCTCTTTGCCTGATGAATCAACTGTTTTTGAGCACGAGTTCAGTCTAACTTGTGACTTCATTCATATAAAATGTAAATTGAAGGTTATTCCCTATACATTCGTCGGGACTTTTGAATTGTTTTCACGTAGGAGGAAGACTTTCTGGTTAATTCTGAAAAAAACTGGTACCGAATTATTTGTATTACGTACGCGGATGGCGAGGGAATGGAAAGGGACGTCTTAAAATCCTAGTACTTCGTTTTTTATTTTTACTTGATTGATGAAATGTTCGAAATAAACGCTCAAGTGCTTGAAGTTTGAATTCAGATTTTTTATATTTTCGATCGTAATCTAGCGTTATGATACTTTCTTAGTAGATTCCGAATCTTTATGTAAATTCAGATTTCTTCAGATCTCTCTCGATTTCACACATTTCAAAGATCTGCAGTCTACTGGTCGTATTTTGAGGACCGTCGAAAACGATCCGCAACAGGGATCTTTTTTCTCAATTTTTATCATCTACGGTTTCGATTAATTACACGTTTTCCAAAACGTCACAAATATTTGAAAGGAACGTCTTATTTTATATACATGGGTCAGAGCGTTGCATAAAGAGGCCACATTTCAAGGAATTTCACGTAACTTCGCTCGTTAACTGAACACCTGTTCGAAACGGTGAACTAGAGGGTGTCGGTCCGCGTTTTGACATCGCGGTTAACAATTGCTCGAGCAAATTCATGAACACGTGAACTTAACTCGATGCAATTAAACAAAGGTTATTATTAAACTAGGGTTCGCTCTTCTGCTCCTCGTCTTCATTTTTATTTTCAGCCGAGATAAAGATTGCCCCGATACTAAAACTCCTTCGCGGCCAATGATATCAGCTTTTTTTCATCGCAACTAAAATTTTATGCTAATAGAGTGACGTGAGCTTCTGCTTTTTCGGTTGCCGGTGTATCAGAAAACAGCGAAACTATTTCGAAAGTGGAAAGGGTATCGTAAAATATCAAAAAGGACATTTTAACGACAACGCTCGAAAACGACATAGCCTTTTATTTTTTTAAAGAAGGGTCCCGAATGTCCTGCGAAGGTCTTCTTTGCATATTTACGCGTTTTCATGCCTGGGATCCCATGCTGGGATTGTTTAGAACACGGTACTACGCTCGGAAAAATGTAAAAAAATATGTTTTTAATTTGGTTTGGTATAGTGTTCAAGTTCCTTTTTATAAAAGTGCTATGAACTTTTTACATTTGATGTGCATTTTGTCGGTCAGCGACGATAGAGGTAATAATAGTGGATATTAAGTAATAATAAATAGTAGTAAATAATATTAACTAATAATGAGTAGTAATTAATAGTAATAAATAATTGAATTACTTGTTGTATCGCATAAACATATAAAATTACTAAACACTATAGAAAATTAAACTACATTGAAATTTCGAAAGTTACAAGTGCATCATCAAGCATGTTCCACTGAAATATTCAAATTCACTTTTTATTCGACGGGTGATTTGATCGCTGCCGAAATTCCTCGCTGAAAAAATTGGACGCTGTTCATCAAAAATATAAAAACCCAATTCTCTGTAAATAAGGACATTTCGTTCGATCCGATCCATCCTGGGATTCAAATCATCATGAAAATTCATTCAAGTCAACTTTTTCTCATGCATTCGAACGGAATACATCATTCAAATGAGTCGACACGCGAAACAGTCACCGAGGGAAAAAAACATTTTGATTTCACCGCAATCCAATGGGATAATTCGCACAGCCGCGATTAATGAAATCGCTTTAACGCTTCATGTTTTAAACATGCGTTCAAGGATTCACGGGCGAGTCTATCGACAGAAATTCGGACTTCTGAGTAACCGGTCGTGAAACGAGACAATTTTTCGACACCGGGAAATACTCGGTTGGCCCTGCAATCAGATAATATTTTTAAATTCTTTAAAAAACAGCTTTTTCGTGGCAATTCCACTCACACGCTACGACCGAGGCAACAAGGTTGACATATTGAGCTGATCAGTATCTCGTTTGGGACATTGTTTAGCAGAAATTTTGATTAGTTATACCTGTTGAATATTTTTAATAATGTAGCGTCTCTTTTTTATTATAAATGTAGGAAAGATTATGTAAATAATAAATATAGAAAGAAATAAAAATAGAAAAGAACATAGAAATAGTAAATATAGAAAGAAAGAAATATAGGAAAACATAAGTTTCGAAAATTCCTGCTATCATCTACCATATTATCTAAATTAAATTTCTCAAAATTTAATTCTGATACGACGGAAGAAGACAATATAAAATGTTCAAATTTATAAATTTATCTATTATAATCCTGTATCAAGAATCTATAGTTCTGCATCAACAAATTTTTAAAGTCAAAAGTTCGATACGTTCCTCTTCAAAATGAAATTCTCCGCGAATTGTGAATGATAGAGGAAAGCAAACTTCAAGCTCGTATCCATCGAACGAAAATCTACGAGCCCCGCATATTAACCGTTGAAGAGTGTAAAAAACGTTGAAACCCGTTGGACAGTATAATTAATAGTCCTCGACGGGCGCAATGAATTTCAAATTTTGCATCTGACACTTTGAATAACGCCGAGGAAAGATGCTTGTTCCGAGAAACGCTGGCTTATTACGGGCGAACGGACAGACGGAGAGCCACCCGACAGTGCACAAGCGAAAACGACGAAGCAGAGTTTAGAAAAAAAAAGAACAAAACAGCGCTGAGAATTTTTTAAAGCTCCAGCCTCCAATCCTAGGGCAGAACTAACCCCCTTTGTCGGAGGGATCGGCCGGGCATTCCGATCTAGAGTGCCCGATCGGACCCCGAACGTCTGGATCTCCTCCTAGTTCACTTTGTTCTTGTTAAGAGAACTGTTGTTTCATCGTTGATCGATGAATCGATCTCACCACAGGGATAAAATTGATTTTTCTAACCCTTTGGAACGTTTAATGGGGTTTAGTACCTTCGAAATATTAGACTGGACAAAGACTTTTCTTCTGTTTGTAAATTCTTGAATTACTATGCCGAAATATGAGTTGCTTATCTGACTTCGAAACTTTATGTTGCTATACAAAGTATTTCACTCGTTCGTAATATTTATTCGTTGGTTATAAAATAAATGTCACATTGAGATGTAAATGACTTATTAGCTAACCCGATAATTCTTATAATCCTGAAATAAGAATCGCCAGAAACGTGTACGGTAGTTACATATTTAATCGAGAAAGTCGTTTTATCGTAAGTGAGTTTATCGCTGAGTTAAATCTTTATATCGCGAGTAAAATGTAACGCGTTAATGTTACAAGGCCGCCATCAAGGTGAAAGATTGAATAATTCCATTACCAAAGAGATTAATGTTGAGACAAGAGATGGAGAAAGTGGGGAGATAAAATGAATTGTACGTCAATTATATATTTCAGAATCAGAATTAAATATGTTAAAAGCGTAAGTGACAAGTTCGTCGTGTGAACAACACAATTAATATGTGTTCCGCAATGGTTACGTGTCTGTTTTAAGTATTGAACGTCAGCCTGTACCTTCACTTTCCGAAAGAAAAGAAAGAATGACGTAAAAGGGTAACCTTCATGACGCGGAATACTGCAAAAGGGAAAGAAGGTTGACTGGGACACTCAAGTTCACATCGCTTGTAAAATTGTACACCGTCGAATGCCCATGGTGCCATTTCGAGTGAGCCGGTGAGTGATCGGTGGTCGAGGACTGGTTTTAGGGACGGGTTCATGTATTTTGTTGTTTCGTTTTGTCGGCCGGTTTCTTCAGAGATGGGAAATTGGGGGGAAATTGGAGCGGATATCGACTCGCGGTGAGTGAACGTCTTGTTTCGGATATTTCGTACGACGAGGGCTCACGGAATCGCGAGTAATGTGGATTGCTGCGTATACAAGTATTGTAAGTCGCAGTTGCCTTTAAGTACAAAATTGCTTATAGAAATGTTCGATTTACAATTTCAATAATGGAAAATAAATAATCATGTAGGAAAGTTTCTATAGTAATGGAATTTTTGATATTTAAAGTCATTAGTCTTTAAACTTCTAATTAATTTGTATTATTATTCATTTATAGAATTACTAACTTCTATTGTTATTAACTTCTATTATTACTAATTTCTATTATCGCTAATTTCCGTTATTATTACATTAACGCGTTAATCATTCGACGTTCCGATTTCTTTCGAATAAAGAAACACCCTCTAAAGTTTGTTTTTCGCAACACCATCAACGACGCGTGAAATCTTCGCGGCAATTATTATGAACGGCCCGTAAGTAAACGGTGAAACGAATTTTGTTTTCAATAGAGCGCTGATCGTTTTCACCCGATCAATGCGCAACGGCGATTCCGGTTTGTAATCGCTTTCGCCTAATAATCGCGGCCGTTTGATCGGTCACGGGTCTAGA